ATCAGTTCTATTGGTTCAAATGTATATTTATTTATATGCTCAAAAATTCATTTGTTTACTAACAGATGCATAAGCCACAAAATAAGACTCTGAGGTAACAGAGCATAAAGAATAGCTGCACAATGGTATAGCATAATAGAAGTGTCGATCCCACGCCAGTACCATCATTGCCTGGGAATTTGTTAGAAATGCACATTCTCAGGCCCTGACCCAGCTCTTCAGCAGCAACTCTGTGGCTGGGCCCTGCAAAATCAGCACTAGTATCTTCCGGAGGGGAGCTTCAGGCACGTCTGATGAACTGTTTTGGGAGGGGGGCATTAATCCTGAGTCCTACTGGACTGTAATAGTGGGGGAGACAATTTTTGCAGAGTTATCAGCCCGGGGAAATGCTTGGATAGCAGAGTGAGATACTCTAGTGTTCCTGAGAAAGAAACCCACTTGCTTCTCCTGTAGCATCAGTCTGTGGAGGCAGGCTTTAGCTTGACACACAGCAAGCTTGCTGTATCTCCTAGAAAGCAGCTTACATACTCTACAAACTGAATTTTTGTAATTTGGCCAGGGAATACCTCGAAATCAGTACTCTGCTGGATAGCCGGGCTATGCTTGTGATCCCACAGGGCACACTTGAAAAGCTGCTGTCTGAAGAACTGGTTTGCAATCAGCATGACCCTAGGTGCTGGCTGACATCTGTCCCTTTGGACACCAGGTCTTTGCATACTTTTAACTAGGAGCCACGAAAATGAAATAGGCCACTGGGACAATGATAAAAGGCTTAAGAGACAAGCAAGAACTAGGCAGGGCTGAATGGTGAGGTTCAAATCCTGTATGAGGCCTTAACTATCCCGAAAGATGTTTTATTCCTTTAGGTCTGTTTATTCTAACACACAGAAATAAAGCAGAACATGTTTCAAATGAAAAGGAAATGAGGGAAAAGTCTTAATACAACAGAGAAACTGCTATATTTCATATTAATTGATCATAAAAATGCTGAGTACAGTGAGGCTTCAGACCGAGATAAAAATATAAGAAAAGTATGCAGTTGAAGAATAGAATAACTAAACTGAGAAAATGCTCTATCAGGATTCAAAAACAAATGAGATGAAGCAGAAGGATTAATGAACTGATGACAGGACAGTGGGACTCATCCAAACAGCAGAAAGAAAAAGAGGATAGTTTATGGTTTATGGGACTTTGAGATACACCAAGCAGCATTA